TGACAGCTGGTTTCAGTTGCCATAGTGTAATTATGTAGAATAGACTTTTGCGATGACACTATGTCAATTAAGGAATCTCTCACATTCTAGACTACAAAGGACAAAATGACAGTACAAGATATTTCTTCCGTCCTTTTTCATAAAAAGATAGTGACACTGTGTGAAATTACAGTCCTGTTATGATGACACAAGTCAAATGATGTGAAAGATTTCTGGATTGATTAAAAATCATCAGCATTATAATATAGAATATGTATGATTTGGTAAGTTGCTGTTATGTTTTGTTCATTCTTCTTCGGAAGCTATTTGGGGGGGCTGACAGACTGGGGGCGTTTCTTGTTATATTTGAACTGGTGTGTGTCAGTGTGAAAAATGCTACTTATATAACAATATACTTTAAATAGTGTCTTTTCGGTATGTTAAAATATTTGAATGCAATACATCTTGAGTAAATTTTAAAGCCATTGCAGAACATGAAGTAGGATGGAAGGAGTTGATATTTCCCACTATTTTCTACTGTCTCGCTTTTTTAAACTAAACCCAGATGAAAAGGAAAATACCATTGTTTTCCTCCTTTCTTGTAAAGTATTCACTCCGTCCCAAAATCCTGGTGAAGTCAATGTATTCATTTTTATTACACAAAGCGTAATAATGAATACTCTTTATTGTTTTTTGAGAAAACTGTGACATCAAAACACCCAGATGCATAATGAATTTATATAAAAAGCTCTTGAACTGAAAGAAAAGATGCTATAAGCATTTCCTTATAGTAAATGCAATTTGTTCTAGTCTCTCAGTATTGATCCTATGTGTTTTAATAGGGTTTTTTTTCAAGTAAAAAACAGTCTCATTTGCATGCAAATTATATAATGCTTCCAAATGATACATGTGGAGATCCTCCTCTGCCTGGTTTCCACTGATTATTGATGTCTGTTTAAGACTTGTTTTTGTTCCCTGTGTTAGCAATGTAGTATTTATTGACATTTTGATGTAGGAAACCACAAAACATCCTATCCAGTTAGATTAATTTATTTCTATGGAAGTGCACAGCAAAAAAGATTCTATGAACAAAGGCATGAGCAGACATTTATCTCATTAAAAAATTCAGAAGCATTCTAGTTTTAGACCTGCTTCCTCTGTGACGTCTGTAAGAAACTAGCCAACTGAGTCATCTTACTATTTCAGCACCTAGAAAAATTACTCCAGACTCTTAAGGTAGCTTGCATCATTCCATGCCCTGAAGTAACTTTGTCATTTAATGAAGCTAGTCTCCCTTTAATTCTGATCCTTACTCATGTACAACATGTGGTGTGTAGTTACCAGCCTGCCAGGTCTGCATCTCATTCCTATTTTGAGTGCAGCCTGCTGAATCCTGTTTTTTGTGTAAAAGCACTCAATTTTTTTTTTATAAAATATGAATGTTCTACGAATATTCTAGCTTTAATGTCACTGGTAAATGTAATGATCTTTAATATGTATTTTCAGCTTAAAAAGTTAAACATGTGTTCATGTAACTAAGTATTTAAGATACTCTACATATACCACTGTTCATAGACTTATTTATTGCTGTAGTAACACAGCGGTTTGCAGTTTTAAAACACAGTTTGCGTAACACCACTTAGTGTAGCTTACTAGGCTGTATGTATTTCTGTGCTAGTTTTCATCAAATATTGGAAGACGTTTTTCTAATCATGTTTGATACATCAGATAATAAATCAGCACAGTAAAGGCAGGGTAAATGATTTCATAGAATGGAAGGACAATGAGATGAATCACCTCAGAGCGGGGCTCCTGAGGGCCTGCCCACAGCCCTGTCTGCTTGCTGATCTGTGCTCTGGCTATCAGGAAGGTCGCAGTGGGTTTACTCTTAAGCTACTGCGCAGGGTCATGGCAGCAGCACACGGCTGTATCCTTACCGAAGTCTGACATGATGGCCTGAGACAGATTTCCCTAGATATACCATCAATAAGCCATGATCTCTGGAGTCACTTGCTGCTTTAACATACCCTGTCTATCTATAGCATAGCTGTATTCAAAGTTTGATTTCAGCAAAACAAGTAAAATGTGCCAGCTGTGTTGACGCTGCCTGTAGTGGCACAGCTCAAGTGTGAGAATATACTTTACTGATATATAATAAAATTAATTTTAAAAAGCAATATTTAACAGCTTTACATTCTAGGCAGAAAAACTAGCTTTGTATATTGATTTTAATTGCAAAGTCTAAAAACGTAGAAAATCCTTAATGAATTTACTTAAATAGAAATGCACATTGTTATGATTGTTTCCATTGAATCAGAATTGAAGATAATAAAAATAATAATTCTGGACAACACAGGAAGGGAAAATGTAACTCTGATAGGTAGTGAAATATCAAACTGAACAAAAATTCTTTGAAAAACATTTTGTCTTTGAGTTAGCGAGAAAGGGGTTTTAACTATTCCTTCAGAGTAGAAAGAAGGAGTGGCTAGATGTAATTGCCTGGGGAACAGACATCTAGTGCCCCTTAAGATGCTATAGGGGATCTAGGCTGGCCTCTGGGTGCTGCTTCAGAAAGTTGTGGGTCTCCTGCATTGACTGTGTCACCCTACTGTCTGCATGGTTACATGCCAGGGACATCTTCAATAAAGTATAATCATCTCTGATATAGACTTCTGTGTTTTGCTGCTGAACTGAGTTTACGATGTTTCTACTGGCTGTTTTTGGCAGCTCTAACAGTCTCTGCCATATCAAAACAGTATCGTTCATCTGGAGGAGCAAATATATTTGCTAATACATACAATTTCCATTTAACTAGCACTCCTTTACACTGGAACAAATGAGAATAGGGGATGGTAAACTGCCTTACGGTCACCACAGACAAAATGGTTGCAATTTCTCCCAGAATATTGTGTAAAGGGATTACCTGTTCAGCCAGGATTAGAATTTCATAGATTTTAATAGTGTTTAAGAAAATTCTGTGAAAATACAACCAGGTAGCTGGTTGGTGTTTCCAGGTGGTGGACAGGGGCTCGTGCTGTTCAGTAGACCAGCATCTATAAGCAAAAGGTCCAGTTATGTTTACAAATACATCTCTTAAACATTGACATTCTCTTGTGAGTCTCTAGCTGTGTCTGTAGCATCTGATCTCACTGTAAGAATTTTATACTCAGTCTTTTCATATGCCTTTAGTGAATTTGAACCTCCTAAACCAAAATCTTGTTACCCATTGTCGGTTATATTGTCAGACACTGCTTGGCACTGCTCCTTTTATTCATAGCTGGATTCTTGCTCTGTGTGGCATAGCATTGACTTTGAATAAGCGCTGCTGTGTGCATTAGCCTACTTGACAGATGGATGTGGTCTGCTGCGACCAAGTACTTCACATTGTTTGAATGCTACATCTTCTGGCTGTTTTGCGTCTGCTGTCCTGGGACGGAGAGGAAAAGATATTTGTTACAAAAAAGAGTTTCCTGTTGATGATGAATATTGAAGTTTAGAACATCGAAGAGGTGGTGGAAGAGGAAGGAGGCCTATTGTTTTTTAATCTCTCTGTTATTGCTAGTTTAGAGAAAGCTATAATGAAATCCCAGTGTTAATTTCTTATTGAAGAAGTTTTGGGGAACCTCAGCCATTTGCTAGTTCTACAGGGTACTGTATTGTCTTCTGGCCCTTAATGGAAACTCTAGCATTAGCCCATCTTCATGGACTTGCCTTGGTGAGGCTTTTAGAGTGGATGGGAGGAATGGTAAAATAGTGGGCTGGTTAGCTCAGTCAGTTGAGCGTGGCACTTACAATGCCAAGGTCGCGGGTTCAATTACCGTTTGGTCCCCATGTGTTGCCTGATCTAGTGAGAGGTGGCATCCCTGGTGGCAGGGAGGCTGGATTAATATGATCTCTAAGGTCCCTTCCAGCCTAGGCCATTCTGTGATTCTATGAAGAAGAAACTAGGGGCTACAAGTAAGTAAATTTATAAATTGAATATATAAAAAAGATGGGATGTAAATGATTTGCTTTAATTTCACCATAATTTCATTGATGTAAATGCAGAACTCCTATCTGTAGTTCACACCCTCTAAATGAGACTTAGTTAACTCCTGACATTTCCCCTGATGCTCCTTCTTTAAGATAATTATCCAGTCTGAAAAAAAAAAAAGTAAGGGTTGTTTTCTCACGGCACCAGGCACTGGGAGCTTGCTAATGTCCATTTCTTAGATTTTTATTATGGAAAGAAATCTGGCTAGCTTTCACATACTGGGAAACTGTTCCTTTTCTCAAGATGTGCAGTGAATATTGAGAATCTGTGAAGTTGTGAATTGTACATAACTTCTCAAATGAGTTCCCTGGTTCCTATTTAGGGAAACAGGAAAATAAATGTTTGCGCTGATCAATATGTGGCTGAGGAATAAAAGAGTTCACAAAATAGTTCAGTAGTGCAGTTTCTACAGGTAGCTACATAGGAAACCTCATCTTGTGTCTGGGACAATCTGATGTGAAGGACAGTCACAGATGATGTGCACAGATGTGTAAAATAATCTTTTCATTCCCTGTGTCGTAAAGAGCTGATCATCTAACTGGCACTTTCTGCTCAGACCTCTGACAAGAATTACAACTCAACTACTGCCCAATTGACCTAGAAATGGAAAAAGTATTTACAGGTACATAATGCAGGCACAGTAGTTTTCGAATGTAGATTTGTTAAGCCACTAAAAGTCCTACAACCACCTCAGACCAAAGATGCTTTTACCTATTTTGCAAGCTAAAAAGAAAAGTTTTATCTTTGCTTAATCAACAATTTTGATGACGACTTTCTTGCCAAAGTCTTTGATGTAATGCTGTATAACTTGATGGTACACTTAAATAATGTCAATGTTATTTAATATATTTATAATTATGTATTATTTTACTAGCCAGTTAAAGAAAAAGTATTTTGTATTGTCTCTTGAATTCTTGACATTTTCTTCCTTGGTATGAGACTTTTTTTTTCTTTTTAATTTTTAATATCTTTTTCCTTTTTCTTTTAGAACTACTATGGAGCTGCCAAAATGATTCTTTCTGACAATCCACTTGGACTTACATGTGGCATGGTGTGTCCAACATCAGATCTCTGTGTTGGTGGCTGCAATTTGTATGCCACCGAGGAGGGACCAATTAATATTGGTGGACTGCAGCAGTTTGCTACTGAGGTAAGTAGGACTTGCAAATGCCTTAAATTCTTTATATGTACCAATAAGTATTGTCTAAATGGATGCCATTGTTAATGATTTGTTTTTAAAAAGTTGGTACTAATAAAATAAAGCCATAGGAAGTTGAAATAATTATCTTTTTTTTCGCGTAGAGAACATTCAGAAGCTTAAAAATGTTTTCATAATGCAATATATTATAAGAACATAAAGAGCAGTATTTGTGAACATCGGGTTTTTTTTTAGAAACACTAGTAGTTTAGATATGTTTTATAATGTAAGATTTATCTAAGACAGGTGAAATTATAATGTTACTGAAGTAGGCTGCACAGGGAAAAAGATCAATGCACCTGCCTCTCTAACTGCATGTTAAGGAGATGTAGAACTATTCCAGATATAGGATAGATCCTATAACAAAATTTATATGCATTTATACTGGCTTTTGGGCAAAGGGAAGATTCCAGATGGTTTAGACTTTCTACTGTCCTGTTCTGCCAAAACTAAGTAAATAAGTAATTTCAAGTTGATCTGAAATATATGCCTGTGTGTATCTATCTACATAGATACAGATGCACCTTTATTATGTCCTAAAGGTATGTGTGTATTTTAGCTACTGAAAAGTTTTACTTGTCGCTTGATATTAGGAAGTCTTCTCAAAGGTTTCTGTTGAGGTACATGTGCATTATTTGTGACTGTATGCTTTCAGGGTCCAGTTTTCATGTGAAGAAAGATAGAGGCTATTTCTCATTCATTAACTTCCTTTGAAGGCATGGAGAATTTCTAGCAAACTCACGGTCTCTCACCTGGCACCTCATCTGATTTGTCTGAAGTGCCTTTGGGTAAAAATTGCAATTTTGGCCTCTATAAAAGGGAGGAAGTTGTGGCCATATAAAAAAGGCGTATACATGTGTTAAGATTGCACATTTCTGTACAGTCTTCAATGATCATGTACCTCTTCTGTATCTTGAACCACCTGGCTGATCATATTTACAAATGGTGAAATTCCAGTAACCTTTAAACAAAACTTTATAGGACCAAAATAGAAAGGTGAATCAGTCTAGATGATGTGTCTGTAAGGCAAATTTTTTTTCCTCTGCTGTCATTCATAGACTTCACAAGCCTTTCTCAATGGCTGTGGGTCACGATTCACTGAGCAAACGTTGCTACCTGCTGCAGTTCTTCCACTTTTGTCTGTTTGTATCCCTCCTTTCTTCTCTTTCAGGAGACTTGTAAAGCTTCTGGAGCACAGGCTAAACTTGCCTGCTTGCTGTTGCTGAACCTTCTCTTACTTGTCATTTAAGTAGCGATCCACTTCGATTTTCTTGAGATTTGAACACACAAACATAAGAATTAATACAGTTTGGACCAAAGTTCTTATTTACAAAATGAGACTAGAGAGTATATTTGTTCTACATGTGTATTCAGTAGTTGGATTTTATCAGTCAAGAGGCAATTTTATTAGCTTTTTGTCCTAATGGTCTTTAATCTTTGTATGTAAAAACGTTTCAAAGTTTCAAAGCAGACAAAAAAAAAAGAAAAAGTTAAATAAACAGTTGTGAAATAGATGATAAATACAATGGTAAAATATTGCTGCTTAGGAACAAAATGCAGGTAGTAGCTGTTATAGCTCAGCTTATGTCTCCTTTTAGCCCTAATGCTATGATTAATAGAGAGGAATTATGGCTTGATAGATAATGCTAAATATCTGCAATTTTTCTTCAAAAATATTTAGAAATCTATTAAAAAAGCTCAGTGCTAGCACAGTGATTGATACAAAACCTGCAGAGAGGATGAGTAGCTCTGATGGCTTTGCTCCTAATGTTTCAAGTTTATTTAAAGTGGCATTAGTGTCAAGAGTTCCAACAAACTAAAATTGTTATACAGTTCTATTTATTATGCAAATGGGATAATATTTCAGTACATTTTATTATCCTTAATATTTTTATAGGATCTCAAAATGTTAAAATTAATTGTTAATACCTTTTGATTTACTGCTGTTTAACGAAGAATTTGTATGTATTGTAGTATTCGTAATTATTACTAATAGGCAGTCACTTTTGTAATTAATACTTTTAGCTTTCATTTAGTTAAATTTTACTGTGATAGTATTTAAAGTTGAAAAAAATAATGGTATGAGTGCTTCTAAGTAACAATCATAAAAATATAGATTAAAATACTGAATAAAATCATAAGATACTACTGCTCATACAAAAATTGGCTCAAATACTGCAAGCGAAGTGTCTTCACAGCTTTACCTATACAAGTAACTTAGCAAATTGTCTAATTTAGACGTGCAACATGTGTTACTCTTAATGAGAGCTGCATGGTAATTCTCATGCACAATGTAATAGTTTGTCCCACAGGGGCTTATTTACTGAAAACTCTATTGAGCATAAAGCCAGTTTTAGACTTTTTTTTTTCCTTGAAAGTAGTCTGAGGATCATACACTTGATATATTACGAGAGCGAACAGTAATAAAAAGGCACAACTGCTAGCCGAGATAAAAGATAAAATTGCAGTATTTTTTTTGTGGGTTTAAAATGGAAAATATAGGAGTATGACGTATGCCCCTTTGTGCTTCTGAACAATGACTGATCATCTGTTCAGACTGCAGATAAAACTCCCTAATTGTGAAATATTTGTCTTGCATACAGTGGAAGAAAAACATGGCACCTCATGCCTCCTGCATTTTCCTTCTCCTCTTTCGTATAGTTTTGTAACTGTTCAGCTCATTCACCAAGTATATTGTAATGCAGTCTTAAAAAGTGTGATTTTTGACAATTAAATATTGGAAAAAAAAGGAAATGTCCATTTGTATTTGAGATGTGTATACTGGGATGCAGTTACCACGGTAACTGTTGCATCTAGAGAATAACATGGAGTACAAGCTCACTATTATAAATGATGAGTGTCAAGTGCAGGTTACACCTGCTACTGCACAGGTCAAAATTATATTAATGTCTTTATCTGTCTCCTTTGCCCAAGTGCTTTAGAATCAGGAAACCTCTCTGGTTTTGGGACACAAGTTGAGAGAAAATGCACTGAGATTGCAGCGACAATACATACATGCATAAGCTATATGACTGTCAGTCCCACAAAATACACTGAAATTACTGGTTACACAAGTACAAGTTTGTAAGCTTCCATAAAAAAAGGAAACGTGCTCTGTTTTGTTATTGGTTTTAGTATTAGGAAGAAGCCCTCAAAACCTTGCATTTCTGGATAGACATTACTGAACCTAAAGATTCTCTTGTGTTTCTAGTTACCCATTCCGAATGGAGCAGCACAAGCTAAATAGAATATGTATTATTTTAATCACTGCATACTAGATTTAAATACCAGATCATTTAGTGCTGTGACTCTTGTGCCAGCTTCAGTTCTGGTGATTTGTTCCTCTCTGGAGATAGATTCTGGCTGCTGTTGCAGCAGAAAGAAATTGGAAAAGGAAACGTGGTATGTTTTTTTCCTGAAGGATGCCCTGTATGAGCTTACCTGCTGCTAACCAAAGGGTGTCTCAGCAGAGCGCATGGTGTGGCAGGTGGCCTCTCTGAGGGTCCTCTCTTCTCCCCTGACCCACCACAGGCAAGGAAGCCCACCATGGCTGCCCAGAGGGATTGCCACGGAGGACTGAGCTGCATCCTCAAGCTCAGGGTCTCTCTTTTAGTTGCATATTGACAGCTCTGATCAGTCTTAACATAGGTGGAGGGAACAGGTGGTTCTCATGGAGCTGCAGCTCTTGCAGTTGGACAGCCTTGGGATGGCTGCTGGAGCCCCTTGCTGTCACCAGCATGGATGCGTGTCCTGCAACAGCAGAGGAGGATTGTCCTGGGGCACTAAGACAACAGGACAAACAGAAAGAAAAACTCATATTTGTCAGTACTAATTTTAATGTACCTTTATGATATTTTCTCTTTTAAGTCGTGTTGAAATCTATAATAATCAGTTACAAGTTTTAGGGAGTTTGAAGGGGGTGGTGCAGTCTTCTGCAGTAGTTCAGGGAAAGAATTTGAGGATTTCTGATTTCTCAGGCCAAGCTGAAAGACTTTCTGATATTTGGGCAAGTTATCTAAACTTCTCTATAGCATGTTTTACATGCTATATCATCCTTTGTTTTTTTAAGGCATTTACATTAATGTTATGTCCTTTTTAGTGGTAGGATTCATAAAATGTTGAGGCATGGACTCTGCCATGTCCTAAGTCCGTGGGGTTTCTTGGGACTGAGCTAATACTAACAGATAGTTGTTAGACAAGTTTTAAAAGTCTTTAATGAGATGCTTTAGATGCTAGTTTTGTCAATGCTCACCTACTTGTATAAAAGTTTGCAGTGTTACAACTTCAGCTGTTAACTTGTTGATTCTCCCTTCACAAGTTTCATAACTATCTCACATTTGTGGAAAAAACGCTTCCTGTACATCCTGTGCTATCCACTGCAATTAAATGAAATTAATTGCGTGATCATGTAATTTGACAATTTCAAGAAGGTTACTGAGTATGCAATGTGCTTCATTTTTATTAAAATCTATGCAGAATTTTCTTCTTTAAATATTCAACTATCACATATTAATGTAAACCAGCCTACAGATAAATATCCATGGAAACCAGTGGGAAAGTGTGAAACTAATACAATCAATTCCTAAATGTTACTGATTTTATTGCCTGTTTTTTTCTTTCTGTGCACTAGCAAAATCTAAACAATTCAGAATGTACTGATACGTTTCACAGCAAAATAAATAGCAGCTATATGCTAATGTCTGTGTCAGTAGCTGTTTAGTATCTTGTCATCTTAGTGAAGGATGTTTAATGGCAAACCTGATAAACTTATTTCTATAGCCTTTTAAATATGGAGGCAAGCATTATGCCTCAAGGATATAAAGGATTTAGTTATGCAGTCAAAACATGTTACTAAAGGTTGAATTTTCCCACTCCTTCCTTTTTCCCCATTTTTTGATTTTCAGCATTCTGTTGATGAAGGTTTTGCGATGGAGATGATAGATTAAAGAGGTACACCTTTTACCTAAGAAATGTGAGCTTCTGTGTATGTCTTGGAGACTACTAAATATACTTTTTAGCAGCCTATCTTGTTTCATAAGATTAGGCAAAGGGTTTTTAACATTTTAACATTGATGTTAAACACTCAATCTATTTCCTGTTTTATTTAAGACACTCTTTGTTGTAGTCAAAAGATAATTTTTTAAAAAGGTGAATTAAACTGTCTGACCATATTTGACTTCTTCAGGTAGATGGAGAAGGGTATCTACAGTATTTGCCTCTTAGAAAAATTCTGATCAGAAAACTCAAAAGTGACTGGAGCTACTTTATTCTAATTTGTATAAAAATTGAGATAACAATTTTGAGTAACATTTCTAACCAACTCTAATGGTTTTAAATGTTTTAGACTCATTTAAATCATGCTTACTATGCCATAAAATGATTTTCATCAGCTTAACAAAATGCATTTCTCTAAGTCACCTGCCACTCTCTGTCAAATGTCACATCTTTTTATCGAAACAGGCTAATACTAGAGTCACAAAGTGAAGAAAAGAACAAGAATTTTATTACATGAGGAGAACGATAAGCTTTTCCCTGTCTGCATTCTGAAAAACAGCTAAAATGATTTGGCTAAAACTTTCCAGGAAAATTAAACTTGAATCAGATACTCAGTAATCAAAATCACTGTAGTTTGCTTAAGTGGAAAATATTGTGAAACCTTGATACAAACTTGTGTTTGCATACAGTGCCTGGAATTATAGTCTTTGCTGAGTATACTGAATGTTCTGGAACAGAAACCAACCCTGCTGCAGTGGAAGGATGTTTGATTTACAAGGGAGAGGAGAACAAACCCCCAGATTTCATACTGGAGAGATCATTGAGCAAGTGCACTCGCACCTTTACGTGTTGAAGTAATGCACGTAGGGAAACTGTAATAGGTTATAAATGTCTGAATTAAGATTTTTATTTTATTTTATTTTATTTATTTTATTTTCAGTTGGTGGAGCTCTGGTAGAACAGGTTGGCTGTTTTGTGTTGATGAAATTGTATCTCACTTGAGGGGAAGTCTTCGTAATCTTTTTGTGTAAACTTCACCCTAATAGACTTAACTGTGACATAGAATCGTAGAATGGCCTAGGCTGGAAGGGACCTTAGAGATCCATTTAATCCAGCCTCCCTGCCGCCAGGGACGCCACCTCTCGACTAGATCAGGCAACACATGGGAACCAAATGGAAATCGAGCCCACAACCCTGGCATTATTAGCGCCATGCTCAGCTGACTGAGGTAACCAGCCTTGAGGCATAAGAAGTGGGCAGAATCTGTGTGGGTTTCATTTGAGTAGACTGTATGTGTTGAAGTAATGATGATTGCATAGTATTTGATAAAAAGAATAAGTGGCCAGCTTTATTAATGTCTATTAATAATCTATCCAATCTCTTTTGTTTGTGTATGAGAGAGCCAGAAGGAAAGGCAGATATGGGGATGATGGCTGAGTCTTTCCACTGAGACATTCAGCTTTAATATTCATTATTTGGTCTCAATTTTCTGAATGAGACTTGGTTAAAAAGCACTGCAAAACAAAAGAAAAACTCCATCCAAACACAAATGAAATAATCTTTCTAAAAGGAAGATTTATAAGAAAGGCAATAGTATTAAACTTGACTTGCATCCTGACCACAGTTTGAGCAGATTAACAGCAGAGAGAGGACAGTTGTGTGTAATGTGGCATTGAACACTTGTAGGGTAGTCATCTCTGCACACTAAAGAATTTGTACGGAGGAATTCAGTGATATTTAATTAGGTGAATTACAGTGTAGGGAAACTTCACTGTGAGGTGAGTGAGAATCTTTTGAAATGCATTGAAGCATTTTGCTATTTTCACACAGTTACCCTGCCAGCCTTAATATGCAAAACTGCCGCTGAATTCCAGATGGCAAGATATTGCCACACAAGCTGGCTGTGCTGCATAAAGACAGTTTCACCCTATTTGGAAATAGGCAGAATTAAAGTTGACCATTCAGCCTGAACTACTAGGATTTCCTGCATGAGTGCTTAGTTTCTGAAGCTTTTTACTGCACTTCTGTGGTGCAGCACTTCAGTACAACCTTTAGTTGATGGGTATGACTATTCAATAATAAATATAAAATTATGTTAACAATAAAGTGAATTTAGTGATAAATTCATTAAGCATATGCATAGTGTTCAATATACACATTAAATATTCAAGTTATAATTCGTATTACTGAATAGACTTCTAAAACATGGAAATTTGGTATAATTTAAGCCATTTCTGTATGAATGTAACAAAACAGACATTTCAGAAATATCCTATTGCATTTTGGTTTTCACAGTCTAGTTTCACAGTACAATGTAAGCTTTTCAGCCTGTGAAATCCATTAATAACTACATTAAACCTTCCCATATTGGATGAATTGTCAGGTCTAAATGATTCTCTTTTCTAAAACAATTATCTGTCTCTTGCTCCTTGCAGTTGGTTAGAATGCTATGTCAATGTACAAAGACCGGGGGAATTTGACACAGAAATTTTAGTGGAGGAAGGAACTAATCATTAGTTTACCTAGCATGAATGCTCAAGTGCACATGAAGAAAATGAACATTGATTCAAAATATAAATGAAAAAATTCTATTCATGAGTGGAATTGCCAAAGTTTAACTTGAAAAACCTTTGTTTCTTGTGTTCTAAGGAGAGTAAAACTGTTGGTAAACTTGTTAAATATCTTAAAAATTATATTAAGGCAAATGAGAATGTATGGTTTTTTAGAGGACCATTTAGTACTTATGGAATGCAGTTCTGCTTTGAAATAGGTGGGGAATAATGTTGTCTTCTGGTAGTTTTTGAAGTGCAGCCTTGAAGTTTTTTTGATATGACTGAGAATCCAAATGCAATGCACTCTTGTAACCTTTTGGTATAATAATGCGCTTCTGCTGTCAAAGAGTTAGACTCATTGTGTTAAATATTTTTCCCTAATGCCTAAAATAAAATGTAACTATGATCTTCCCTGTTCCTAATCTGTAGTAGTCTGCAAGTGCTAAGAGTCTATTCTTTTTGCTTTTGTAGGTTATACAAAAGAGACTCCATTCCTTCCCTTGCAATGTATGTAACTGCAGAGAACTCTGAAGTCTAGCTCAGTGAATGTAGAATATTTGTGCCTTAGTCTCTTACCTGTTTGCCTGAGCAAAGAACTGATTTAATAAAAATCTGAAATAATTTGTGAGACATTGCAACTAGATCAGGAGCCTGTTATGCTGGGTTCTGTATAAATATATAATAGTGGTCAGAGACTGTCCCAAAGTATTTCTAATCGTCAAGACGAAAGGGATCAGATCATCACCGTTTTGCAAGTGAAGGACTGAGGTATAAGGAGAACAGTTTTTTAGGTACACCTACAGGTTTTGGACACGTGATTTAAAAATAGAGAAACGTGAAATAGATGAGCAATTTACATGAAATAAGACCTATTAGAATTATCTAAGAGAAGGCATCTAAAGCATGGGTTACCTTTGAAAATATAGTGCTGAAGACTAAGGACAGTTCCTTTAAAAAAGTTTCAAAATCACCTGAGGTTGGTTGCCTACCACCTCTAAAAACTCAAGCCTTAAGTCTGTTTTCCAGGATCACACAAGAAGTCTTTTGAAGAAGCAAAGCCTCTTCACTTGCATTACAATCCTTTGTGTTATTTGCAAAAATACTTTTCTAGAAGTAAGAATAAGCTAAAAATTTTTTGGAGGAAATTTTTGGTGTTACAGAGATTCTTTGCTGTCTAACTGACTTTGTATTACTAGTCTGTCACTGGTAGTCTGGTTCCATCTTCTCTGTAAAATTTAAAGTAGTGAAAGATCTGACTTCAGACATATTTAAGATAAAACGAACCATAGAAGGACCAAACCCTCTTGCAACTACAACATCCTTCACATATGCACACATCAGGTCATTTGGGAATCCCTATAATGTTACGAAGTGGTCTGCAATAATGCACCAATGCTATGATATTCTATCACATTGCTCATAATAAAAATCAAGGAAGGAATGTAAAGTATGTAACCTGTTGAATGTATTGCTTTTCAGGTGTTCAAAGCTATGAGTATTCCTCAGATCAGAAACCCTTCGTTACCTCCCCCAGAAGATATGCCTGAAGCCTACCAGGTGAAAATAGCTCTTCTTGGTGCAGGACCTGCAAGTTTAAGTTGTGCTTCCTTTTTGGCTCGATTGGGCTATTCAAATATCACCATATTTGAAAAGCAGGAGTACGTTGGTGGCTTAAGGTAAAAAACAGTAACAACAAAGCACTGTTTCCAATGATTGTAGAAAGCATAGCAAAAAGTATTGTGCACGCATAGTTTTTACACAAACCTTTACCAAAAGAAGAGAGTAGAAAATACTAGATCTGAAAAACTTTATTTAAGTAATTCATCATTCAAATTAAAATAGTTACAGTTCCAGGCAAGCTTTAACTGAAAATCTGGTGGCTGTCTGCTATATTCTCTTTGTATGATTTCTAAAATTCCAGAGTGCAATTGTTATCAAATTAACACATCAGAAAACTGTCAGGAACCATTTTTCCTTAGCCAAAACTTTTAGAACAAGATGAAATACTTGTAGCCCTACATAGCGAAGGAATTAGTAGATGTTTAAAATGTCTTAGATAATAATTTCATGGCCGATTTTAAATTTATAATGGTTTTATGAACTACCTTATACAAATAAAGATGACAGTGAATAAATCTGTCACTGCTGGACTTGCAGCTTTAGTAAACCATACCATAACAGTGAAATGCTACAATTCTTAATGTTTAACAAATTGCAGATACACATAGGAAGGTGTCTTTGCAGTTTTCCTGTATGCTAAACACTTGGCTGATGTTTGCATGTTGTCCTGTCCTCTGCAGTAGAAGATTGTTACCACTGTAACAATGGCTGTCTTTAATTTTGTGGAATCCCTAATATATAAAAGATAAAATACTTCAGAAACTGACTCATGGATACCAACCCATTCAAAATCAAAATTAAATTTTTCATCTTGAATATGTACTCACACTAAAATATTTATTAAAAAAAATGGAAGGAAACAGAGAAAGAAGGGTTGTGTGCTTGCATTTCTTATTGCAGCATCACTGAAATCAATAGAGTTGACACTGCTAATAAATTTGATCCATAGTGTCATAATGTCAAATAGTTATTCAGTGCTCTGGAAGATAGAGAATCAATGCTGGAGAAGTTGAAATGATTACTTGCATTTTTCTTCCAGTGAAGTTCAGAAGTATTCTACGTAATTATCAAGGTGTTAATACCTAGGCGTTTATCTGTGGAGCTGTTTTACTTGAACTGGTTGCCACAGAGGATTGGAAATTTGGCATATGAAATACCTGTTTGCCTGTTGAGTAGCACATGGTTTCATAAATACCAGATTTAAGATAGGTTTTGTTGCTGTAAAGTAGGAAGAAGTAACTAGATGTTTCTAACAATGCAGTTTTACTTAGTGGTGGCTTAGACTCAGGTTGGACTCAGCAGTATAATAGGAGTACTTTCTGCAGGTACTTGCAGTGTTACAGTATAATGCTGCTCACTGTGTGCAGGTATGTTTGAAGCAATGTGATCTGAAGTTGCATCTGTTCTTCATGTTCTAAGTTGAATTTAAAATAAAGCTTAGTCTGTTGTTTGTTCTAATGCAAAAAAGCATTACACTAGGTTTTGCCTGTTCTGTTAGTATCCTTAATGGTCGAGCAGTGCATTTTAAAATCTATTTCTTTTGTTTGAGTCTTAAAGAACACAGAGCAACAAAGGTCAAATTTTCCTTACATTCATTGTAAAAAGTTTCGCAGTTGTTTTAAAGGCATCAATTCCTTTTGTCCTTATTTTAATCTTGTAACACAAGGGAGGCTGGCCTGTGGCAGCAATCATCCATTATTGCATTTCTAAGTCTTTGCAGTACATCTTTTAACAAGTTTAGGTTATCGATGGGTGTGTTTTCAAGGCTTCAAAAACTGTTGCAAATGGCTAACAAGACCAAATTAATTTTGTGTTTGGAATCAGCTCTTTGGAATGGCAATCCTTGTGCCCTTTTTTAGTTTGCTCTGCCTTTTTTATAATGTTTTTAGCTAGGATATTCATTCACACACATGCTACATCATAGCTAACTTTAGTAAAATTGTGACAATAGAAAGGTGTCTAGTGAGTGTGATTTCTGTGGTGTGATATATAAGCATAGCATAAGCCTGTGGTTGTCTCAGTATGTCTGAATTCTTCACATTCACAGGCAGGTTTTCCTGCATTTCACAGTTGTGTAAAATTTATGCTTAATAGTAGAGTAGTCGTGAGCAGATCATGCTCTTGCTTAGAGACTGTGAACAAGCTTCACTGCCTGGGCTCCTAGCTATGCCACTGGTTTACAACATAGTAAATTATTTCTGTCACTAGGCCAAAGGGTGTCCCTTGAGCAATAGTAATTTGAGGTCACTGAGAAACATCAAGCACTTGTCAAAGCACCTCTAACTTAGATCAGGTTTGAGGAAGTGCTGAGCTTGTGGAACACCTTTCCCTTCCACTGCAAACCTCCTGCACTTCTGCCCATTTCTTTCTCCCCCTCTGTCTCTTCATGGCTGAAAAAAATTGTATCAGGATTATTGAGGTGCCAGTTGACTTTCATAAAATGCTTATTTTCATGGTGAATGTGGATGCAAGTTTGCCAACAGAACTGTGTGTATTTGCACATAAATGTATATGTGGGTATACTGCATACCACAAAGCTGTAAATAAAAGGTTTAATAAGAGCAAAAATTGTTTCAAATTCTGACAGTGACATAATGTGGCCAATGCTGCTCTGGGAGCATGTTATGGAAATGACAGTCCTTCAGCAAATATGTAGGTAGCTTGGAAAATTGAGCTTTCTCTTTTTTTATTAGATTTCTTTATTGAATCTCTGTTGTAGAATTATATTGAAACATTAGTCTCTGCCTCAGACACTTTCTTGCTTAGCATGACCTGTGAAAAGTTCTAGTATCGTGACATGTTCATCATATCTGATTTTTAGAACCCTTTTCATTGCACACTGGTCAGGAAAGGTGAAAAAAGGGCAGTATTAGAAATAAGGAGGAACAGCGGTTTCTTATCAATATAAAGTTGATGCAACCTAAAATAAATAAATAGGTAGATGTTAAAGATGGTGTGATCACTAACAATACATAAAATAAAGCCACAGTGAGTCTCTTGTGCCAGTGCTTAGTTATGGAAATTATAGATCCATTAATTTGAAAACAGATTTGGCTGTTGAAGCTTAGAAATATCTGTGGAGAGTCTCACTTTTCAGCATATTCAGGGTGGTTTTTTTCATCTTCATTGAATAAAAGTACCTAAAATAGAACTTCAGTGTGTTTACCTGTAAGGTGTTTTACAACAGACACTTTGAACTGGCATAAGTAAATGTCATTTCATTGGTGATAAAGACCTACACCAGTAGCTATAAACTGAGATTCAATGCTGTTGCTGGATTTTTCACGTATAGGAGATCTGTGATTCTGGGAACTTGAAGATGTCATTCCTAATCTTCCCCCGGAGGAAGATTGCCAGCTGATAAACATTAAGTCGAAAAGGAGACTTGAGACCAAGAGCTGATAGAAAATTGCTAACTTTGTCCATCCTGAAAGATCATAAAAAAATTATGAAGTAGAATTGGAGGAAGGTACAAATTTAAATACTATTAGTCAAAATAGCAAATGCAATACTTAAAAATAATTGTGAGATATTTGATTCTTTCTTATTGGCTATCTTAATGAATGGTTAGATCTTCTCTTAAATGGCTGTCTTAAGTTTGTTTAGTGTTGCATATTCTGGAGAAGAAAAAAACTGGAACAGAAGCTCTTTTTGGACTCAAGCTTAACCTATGTCTAATGGCTACCTACAAACATGGTCAGGAATGGCCTCAAGGTGCTGCCTTCCTGGCACATATTTTTAGCATTGGTTGCATAATGCTTTTTCATTACTCTAACGATTTAAAAAAGCCAGCAGTCAAGCTTCATCATACTTCCATTCACATTTGTCAAAATTAAGTGTGTTATGAGTATTGAGTTTTTAACAAATAAAAATAACAATTTATTCCTTATAGCTGGAAATATTTCACAACAGTTTTTATTTATTTTAGTACGTCTGAAATCCCTCAGTTCCGATTGCCGTATGATGTAGTGAATTTTGAAGCTGAGCTTATGAAGGATCTTGGAGTGAAGGTAATGAAAAATATATCCTGCCTATGTATAGCTCGAAGAAAAGAGAAAAAGAACTCTGCCAAAGATTAACAGCAAAATGTCATGCACATTAGTAAAGAACGATTAAAAGCTATGCTAGACAGAGGCAGGAAGATGCTTCCTCTTGCTCAGAGCATTTGTCTGTCTCCTGTCTGAATGCCACTAGTTTGGAAAAGGGCAATCAATAGTTCTCATCTGGCATGCCTGCATGTGATTAATTGTCTGTAAGAAACAAATTCCTAAATTGCTTTAGGGGTTCAGTGTAGCTATTGGAATGATTTGATTTTTTTAAATCGAGGTTTTTTTCATGCAAGTTTGGCGCTACTTAAAGCATTCATGTTTGATACTTCTCCTTTTGTTCCCTCTCCCTGAGTTTTTTTCTTAAGGGTTTATCATACAGTCTTGCATCCAGATTAATTTTATAACATGATCATCCGTTATAAAAAATAACAGTAATTCAACTTCTTGGAAAGTAGTAGTTTAGCATTATTCTGTTAAACAGATGTGTATTGTTTATAGATAATGGGAACATTGCTTTATTGTTAATTTAGGGCTTGAGCTGAAGATTTAGATAGTATTTACAAAGGCTGCACATTTTAATACAAGTTACAAACATAGAATGCATCACTGCGTCAAATTTTTGTGTACCAGAAGGGATAATATACTCTTAACATGGTAGTAAAGCATTCAGTGAAGCAAGAAATTCTTCTTGGAATCTTTCATCTTGGTTCATATCATAAAAGCAGTAAACTGTTGTCATGAGTCCCAAATGAGAACCTCACCGTGCCCAGGTTTTATGAAAACGCTGCTAAGATGTAAGATAAGGCTTTAAATGCTACGAGTCTATGTTTCTACTTTAAAGATCCATTTGCAACCCTTGAAAAGTTGGGAAAGGCACTGAAAACAGAGCATTTGAACATTTTAGACAAAATTGCTGGGCATAAGCTCCTTGGAACCATCTGCAAAACTCAGCTCCCTGGAGCTCCCTGTTATGGCAAAGTCTCCAGGATGGCCTGATAGAGCCACCATGTCATCCTGACCTGTAAGTTCTCAGCTGTTTTGAAGTGCAGCAGAGAATCTCAATGTAAATTTGCTTCCAAGCTCTGCTGTTGGTTTGCAATTGACCCTTTGGCAAGCTGGTTAACTAAGCACCTTAGCTTTATACCTCTATAAGCTGGAAATATTTCCTGGTGTTTACTTAAAGCATTTCAAATCTGTGGTGGAAGGTGCTGTATTGTGTAAATGCTCAGTAGTCTTGTTTATTCAAGTAATTCTACTGAAATTAGTAAGAATTAGTCAGCTGAATAAGGATTACAGAGCTAGGCCCTAGGAGTATTATGATCCCCACATAAAATAATATTGCCATTTAAATTCCTTCATTAGATTTTCATAACATATGTACACAATAGGATAAAAAAATGTAATGACAATTTATGGAATGTATTTTGTTGCCTGTGAGGATGTAGTATGTATTCTAGAAAGGATTACAACAGTACATGGCTCTTCTACCTGTGATAAAATTCATACTGAATCTCTAAAGACAAAAAAAGTTATAAGTATTGTACACTGTATTTTACATATGCTTTCTTTTTTACCACTAGGAAGAGTATATGTGATGGAATATAGGTAGATTAAATAAGAAACAAGATATACAGTAACAAAGACTAGACAGTTAAGATCACAAAGCCTAGTGGTTACACAACAGAGCATGGCATTTTGTAAAGTGAATACACAAGTGATATAAAAAAACCAGGGAAAACTTTCAAGTTCAGAGCGTCTAAAGTACTGAGATAAAAACACACATACCCATGTCAAGAAATACAAAATATCAGAAGAAGAATCACTCACGCTTTATGTGCTCAAAAGCCTTGGGGTCAGGAGAGATGAGTAAAAGGTGTGTGTATCTTCAGTTGTATGACCTCTAACACAGGAGACTGCTATAGTTGGTTTGCTGAACACGCAGCAAATACTCTTCCCTGTCTCACTTTTGTAACAGCTATTGTTGCTCAACCTGTAGAGTGGCAGCTCAAAGCAGGATGCTGGTGGAACGTTAGTCTATAAAATTTTTTCAGCTTTTGCTTCTGGAATAGGAGTTGAACTGAAACAAGTATAGATTATAGATGCATTTTTATTACTGTGACTTATTTCAATAAATGAATGCCAGTTGCTTCACTGTGGGCATTGTAACTTGTCTAAATTAGAATTAATTACATCAAAACTGATCCAATTCATAAGTTTGAAAACCTTTGTTAGCTTACAACACAGAACGCCCTGCTTCACTGCAAGTTAGTTGGGCATGGTGTAATTTACACAGAACGCTCTTCAGACTTATTGCCATTTCTGGCACAGTCTTTACAGGCAGAGCTTCTGAATCCACAAAAACACCATTGGCTTCACTGAGGGATTTTGGCGTAAAGGTGTTCTAGCCAGCGGCCTCAGCGCAGGCTTCAGGCCGTGAGCTTTGAGAGTGCGACACAAGGCAACACCACCCTTCCTTCGGGACTGGCGTTGCATTCTGCACACTTGGAGGCCTACCAAGTGCCTGATACTGTGTGGGAAAGCATTGCTTGGTTACCTGTTCAGAACCCCTGTTCATAGAGAATAGTGTCATGTCATTTTTTTATTGCTCTGTAAGAGGCTCATACTTTCACTAATGTTTCTGCAATAGCCTAAACTGCTTGTTTTTTGGTTGGTGTACTGGGTGATCTTTTTAGCACATACTCCCTAAAGGAGGTTCTTGCTTCCACATCATGTTTCTTACATTCTGTTTTTCACATGGGAATACAACCTTTTATAGTCAGCACTGAATACAGCAATTTACTCACAGTGGAAAACTGTTATTTTCAGCTTTACTTCAGTGTTGTGTTCCACAGACAGGCTTTTTTTTGTCTGTTTAGCTTGCCTTAACTCTTTTATCTTGCAGCAAAAACCAAGCTTGAGTGTGGTGGCCCACATATAAGGATGATCTGCAGGTGCTTTTTACCCTTATCTAGTTTGGACCACTTGCTTCAATCAGAGCCAGTCTGGCCTTTTAAGTCTGATGTGGGGGGAAACGATATTTGCTTTGTTCACTAAAAGATCCTGTGAGATGTCTCTATTCAGAACACAATAGAAATTATTTTCACATTATCACATTAAAAGCAAATAATCTCTAATTCTTTCAGATAATTTTTAATAAAGGCCTTGCAATGGATGGAATGACGCTCCGTACCTTGAAAGAAGATGGCTACAAAGTCATCTTTATTGGAATAGGTAAGAAAAGTTCACTGTCCTGTGTTTTGTCATCTTGAAACTGAATGACTGTCTAAAAAATAAACTGAGATTTACATCTGTGTTAATAGCATGATGTGAGACAGCTTCAGCTGGATGCATTATGAAAGTATGGAATGGGAGGAAAATGCTAAAACCAGCTGTCTTAAGACAGTTAAGTGTTAAAATTTTCACATTTATATGATAGATTTTTAAATAAGATGAGAGTGCAGCTGCATGTGTTGGTTTATTGTTTGTTTAAATAGTTAAAAAATGGATGAACTAAAAACTTCCTCGTAATTAATTGCCATATTGGCTTAGAGCGATAACACAAGTTCAGTTCTCAGTTTTTGCAGACAGCTTACTATACCCACATAATTACCACATCTACATGTAAGCCAGCGATACCATGCTTGGTTGCTTTTTTCCTTTCCTCCATATAAAACATGTAACATCCTTCAGATGGGCTGTAGTGAAATGTAATTATGGGATGGGTTAACAAAATAAGCTGACTTTGACTTATACTAAAACTGGCATCATAGGTCTGTCTTCTTTCATATGCTAAAGAAGTCCTGCACCTGCCTGCTATTTGAATCATTGCTTCTTTTTAATGTTAAATTAGAATTGTTATCCATTTACAAGTATTTTGAAGTACAGCTGGACCTATCGCTACCATATGATAGGCATGTTGAGCAGGCATCGTCTGCAGTTGGTATGAGGCTTAATGCTCTTTATTGATCTAGACGTTGCCTAAGTGAACATAATAGGAAACAAGTTGTCCAACTGTTCTTCCTTCCTATTATTGATTACAGAGATGTAATTCTTGGTGCAGCAACAACTGTTGTTTACCATCTGGTTATGCAGTATAATAAGCTTTGCAGGTCTACTCTGTCATGTGATTGTAATACAGGACATTGTGTTTTATATAATCCTAAAACCTCACATCGTTATAGGAACAGGAATTCCCACGTATAGGAATTCTGATATGTCATGTTTTGATGTAGGCAATGGTCCAACTCCTCATCTTTATTGTTTTCATCTACGTCTACTTTGTGAAATCTCACTAGTGAGAGATCAATTCATAAATTAACATTTGCTTTCTGGAAGTCTAGCATTTAGGAAAAGATAATCAGTCATTTTTGGAATATCAGCATGATTCCTTTGCATTTCTGACTTAGAAATTTAAAATAACAGTTCAGTTAAAAGTTATTAAAAAATGACCACTGAGCTTTACAAGTAGGATTGGAATGTTTGTTTTATGTATGTGAGTTTATTTTCTGACCCTAATAAAGTTATCCTAATACAAAGTATTTTTGGTTAGAAATATAAATAGGCAGCATTATGCAATACAGATGCTAGGCAAAGGGACACAGACAGAATTTTAATAAACAAGGTATTTGAAGCATAATTCTCCTGTAAACCATGTGTTCACTGATTGTATTAGGAAGCAGAGGGTATAAATGCTAATGAAGGATTATGTGTTCCTGCAAATTTTGTTACTGGAAGCTACCTTGCATTCGTGATGAAATTGGTCCCTCTCTAATCTCATGTCTGCCTGTCATCTCTTTTACAGTACTGTGTAGGACACTGGATGGTAATGCGGCCTTGCACACTGGTAGTGAGAAGATGGTGGACAAACCAAGGGGTTACAGATTTCTAGGGTTAGCTCTGTTAATGTGATAGAACATTTACAAACTCTCTACAACAGCTGTTTTTCCATAATGAGTCTGTACTGTATTTCTTCTTGTGTTCTTTGCCTACTGAACAAACACATTCAATCAAACATCACATTTGAACATTACCCCAAATCATGGTAGTAAAAATAATTAGAGAACACCACTTCAATGAAGTAGAAGACTTATTTTTTGCGGTTATGTTTTGCATGGTAGTTTTCAGTTTTTCCTATTAGTGGAAAAAAAGGAAAGATGAATGGGTTTGTAAAATAAAATGTAATGCCTGATGAGATGAGGGAATACACTTATGAGAGGATCTTTTCTTAACAATGTCATTTTTGAAGAGCACACCTTTAGTTTTGCAAATGAAATGGAACTCAAGAGTTTATCCATCAGGATTGTACAAGAGTGCATGTGTGATTCACACCAGGAAAAATCTATTGCTCTGTGGGAATGTCGTGTTAGTACACTCCTACACTGGGTCTATGGAAGGTAAAGCATAGGGGAGTGAGGTTTGTTCACTTCTAGGAAGCCATGGTATTGAAGAAAAATTAATTGCAAAGGCTATTTGTGAGAGTAGTTTGGAAAGGTATTTGAAGTGGGCTCTAGTCAATGTATTTGCTTTGTTTCAGCACTGAAGGGTAAAGAATTTCAAAGAAGTTCACAAAGGGATACAGATTAACAGCCTTATTCTAAAATAAATTTAAAAAATGCTTTACTTTAAGTCTTTGATAACTGAGGCATTGAAACTCTGATGATTTATCTTAAGAAGAAAGACTCTCTCTAGCCAGTAGGTCTGGTGCATTTAAGTCACTGCCTAAGGCTCAGAAAAACACCTCATATTAAACCCGTAGACAAAGAGATGGCCAGAATGTGTCCCAATTTTTGGCAACTTCTGGAATCTCAATTTGAGTCACACCTTACTTCCATACTATTTAATTTGCACTGTCTTACTTGATAGCATCTCTGATAGCAGAACATCACCGTAGTGGCAGGTGAGTTTCAGTCACAGGATTGCCTGTTGTTACCTTTTCTCCCTTAGTCAGTTATTTCCTTCAGTCTCCTATTTTTTTGCCTTATCTCAGCTGTGTTTCATCCAGCTAGTTCTTCATGCTGTACTTCTGTTAATTTCTAGGATCAGCATGTGAAGTACCTCTTCCTTATCTATCATTTACTCTCATGTCCTCTCGGTTTCCTCTCTACCAAGATGTATGTTTTGCAACATCTGGCAGCAGACCTACCTTGTGTTTTGCTTACAGGGACCCAAGAGGTAGACTTGAGACCAGTGTATGATATCGACAAGAGAAAAACTTTTGTTTTTCTCCAGTCGTCCTGATTTCATATTGCAGCTAACATAGATATTAAGAGGTAGACCATGAATCTCAGTTTCTTACCTCAAAAGAAATGATAGACAATAGCACACATGAAATTTTTTTCACAGGACTAAAAGGCAGCAGCCAAAAAGGAAAAACCTATTAAATACATTCTGGGAGTCTCTACTATAGTTTTTAATTTTTTCATTGTAATTTAGTTTGGTGCAATTTCTAAGCATATAGAGTCTCATTTCAATGGACAGTTATAATGCTAATTAAGAATTAGAGGTGTATAATTATAGTTCTTAAAATTATAATTTTAAGAATCTATCTTCCGATTACAAATCTTTTGTTTTTATTTTGTTATGCACAAACACTAATGAATAGGAATTAGATCTCCCAATTAAACCTTCAAAGTTTGAAAACTAACCTCCCAAACTGTGCATAGGAAAAAAATACTTTTCCAAATTTGATAGATTACACTCAATGAACCTGACCTAGAATCAGTTCTGCTTTTTCGTAAGAAAAGTTCATGAAGAGTTTGTGATTGAGGTGAAAAATCCATTTGAAAATATTGCTGTTAAAAAAAAAAATAAAGATCTTGCCTCAGTTGCTACCTTCTGTAAACACCATAGAGACTCCTGGGCAATAGAGAATTGGCATGCTGAGAGCAAAAGGAGAAATCAATGGTGGGGTGAGGGGCTAGAGGAGAGAGCACATGGTCCTCAGAGACAGCAAAGGGTATCTTATGGAGAACAGAGAAGTCTGAACGCTTTGTGTTACTGTGTCTCTTGGCTGATTTTCAGAGTAGAATATTTATAATTTTTACAAAAATTGTCTGTGTATGTCTTGCTTGACTATCGACAAATGCAGAAACACTGGGCTTTTATTACTCATCCTTCTTGAAGTTCAGCTACACTCTTTGGCAAACAGGACCCTGTGGTTCAGTCTTTTAAGACTTAAAGCATTGTATATGCTTTTTGAAAGGGAAAATACAGAACAACAACTATTTAATTGAATGAAAATGAATGACCTAAACCTTTAAAGTATTCAGGGACATGTTTTGTGTGACATTCAGACAAATATATAGAAAAGCTATCACCATAAATGTATTTTCTGCAGACTTTTACACAAACCTCTGTCCTTATTTTATAACATTTTATTGAAACGTAGAGATTTTGTATAACAGTTATGTTCTCTTTATATAAAGATCAGGTAAAAGTATATAATCAAAGCTTGTTTTACTTGGTAAAATATTTTTTAAAATCTTAAGCCCTCATTCTCAGAAATTGTTTTGATACTTCAACCTGAGTAGGCTTAAACTTGCAGCACTAACTAGCTTTTCAGTCCACTCTTCATTACAGGGCACGCGCAGCTACTAATGAACCTTTTTGTTTCTTCCTCCATCTTGTGATGTTGAACTGCTGTAAAGTCAGTTTTATTGTATTAAGGTATTCAGAGGTTCTGTTAAATACTGCAAAACAGTTGGTTAGATGAGCATGCAGAGGAAATCTAAGCAGACTGTTGTATCCTAAATAGTATATCCTGCTTGCAAGTGTTAAAACTGTACATTAAAAAAAAAAAGGAAATCCCTTGGGGAAAGAACCTTTGTGATAATTGCAGTCATTCATAGTTAATTAACATAGCATTCAAACAATAATATAATCAGATGATTCCATTGATTGGAATGAAATTACACACCAAAAAAAAAAAAAGAAATTAAAAGTCCAAGCATTGATGTACCTTGTTTCTTAAAAAGCCCTCTGAGATTGATTTACTGTCTCTTCCCCAAAAAGTAAGTAATCTCCTCATGCCTGTTATTATCTTCTGATTAACTATGCAGTGCCACCTGGTGTGCAGATGGGAAGAATATTACACATCAAGAGCTCTGTTCACACCCACCCACCCAGATATAAACCTACGTGGCAAAAGTGAACAGATGTTCATTTTGCTTGTGCTATACGAAAAAATTGTGCCTCGTACTCCTGATTCATAAACTAAATTTGGAGGACATGAA